CGAGTAGTCTCTGGACTGCCAGTAGATTTCGAGCAGGAACTCGAGTCAACCGATGCAAAATGTAAAGGCATCCTGAATATAGTACATTCAAAAGTGACCAACCCGTCATTTGGCCACCTAAAACGACAAGCTGTCTCGAATGTATATATTCTGTCTATCGTGCCAGTTACTAAGCCGACGCCTTCGGTACTAAGTGGAATTTTTAAGCTGAAAGAAAATATACAAAAAACCTACTTGGCTCCGGCTAGAACACACAAGACAAGAAGAGGAGATCTGTTGAGATGCGGCAAAATGTAATCCGTTCTTTTGGGCCATTCGCAGTCTCGATTGCATCGTTGCTCTCCATTTTCTGATTGAGAAGCATACTTTCATCTGCTGAACGGGAATTTTCTGTCGTAGTCGAAATTCCTGCATCAGTGAAGTGGGGCACTGGGCTGTTATTGGAGGTCGCCGACATTTTTGCCTCAAAATAGGGAATCCAGTACATATTTTGAGCCCGGCCAGCCTGAACTGGATCACAGGCGAATCGTGCGGGAGCCGTCAGATAACGACGGATCATGGCCAAATAAGTGAAAACAACTTTTGGCACATGACGCTTATGAAGTGAAACAAACAGGCATTCGCTTGACTACTTTCCTGACATTTTACATGCGAAGATAAAGTGGATTTCGATTCACATTGCTGGGGGCACTTTCATTTTGTATGAAAGTGCATGAAGAAGAGATTGATAGCTTGATCGCACCAGAAAAGGACGGATGAATCCCGTTGTATTGCAGCCATTTGAGTTCGAAACGACATTCATTCTAACGCAGTCCACGAGACATCCTCCCTCTTTTCAGGTGAAAACTGGCTGAGCTTTCGTCCATCATCAGAGCTGGGAGTCATTCTTGTAAAATTGTCAAGTTGACACTAAGAAAAGAAGACTATCCGGCTCTTATACAGACTCAATTGAGCAAAAGAAAATTAAAATCTAGATAGATTTAGAGTGGTTTGGCTAATTATCTTTAATACTTGTCCTGCTACTATTGCTCTAGTGTGTGTATGTGTGTGTGTTAGTGTCTTTAAGCAATTCCAGTGCTAAATCAGAGTTATCAAAATGCTCATTTCAGGTTGTGATCATCAAGGCCCAATGACCCAAAAGAAAGCCCTGATCGAGACTGCGTAAGTCCGTAAGCAAGTATGATTGAGATGATGAGATATGAGCTTGTAAGCATGTAAGTCAA